TTAGGATTATTTTATTTATTTAACCTACCTGAGTGTTTTATTATATCCATTTTTCAGTCTACCATATTTGGATATCTTTAATATACGATCAGTAGCGCCGATGCAACAAACTGTGGTAACAAGAGAAACAAAATACTAATACGTACAAATGTTGTTTTATAAATCTTTCGCTATCTCTATTTTCAGCTACTCTCCTGCATCAAATTCTCCACACCTATTTGCGCTGTAACGTTCTTTAACAGACGTTTACAGCAGTTTTACACTTCTAGTTAAAATCTTTTCCTTTAAAATGCTGTTAATTTCTTTTATCTGTTAGAGTATGACCTTAACTGAAATTTGAAATTGGAATTTTATTTTACACAAAGGTAGGATATCAGAAAAAAGCACCAAGAAGACTTGTGGCATCCGGAGACACCTCATGATAACCTAAACTAAAAAGTTTCTAAGATGAATCGCTACTATTACACATACATTGTGAGAGAAAACATAAGTGTAATACATAATTGATAACTCGTACAATCAAAAGCCAATAAGCGCCACATCTTTTTCAATGTGTCAATGTGTAGAACCAGGGTACAGGGGGCACTTTTCTTTAGGCAAGTGGACATGCGGTGCAAAAGTGGCACAAAAGTCTCTAAATACTCTTTCATAGGTTGTCACATGTGCTTTTTTTAATGACATGGTTTTGAAACTTTCAAAGTATGTTTGTACCGGAGAGCCGGTCATTGAAAAACCTGTATGAACGTACCTTGAACGTTTGAAAACCATATCACTGCAAAGACCACATACGAAAATCTATAAAAAGAGTGTTTAGACACTTACGTACCACTTTTCTAGCACATATCCATGTGCCAAAAGTCATAATTGCTGTGTCCATAAGCTAAAATCACCGTATCACATTGCATCGAAATATGTTTTGTTCAGAAATACCTCATATGCACATCATTCCATGCAGATGCTGATTCTACGTATGTTATTAGTTGTTAATAGCAGTGCTTCTGGTTTGAGAAAATTGAATTTTACTTCAAAAACAAATAATTTTTTGGAAAATCCATAACTTCGTCCAAAATCATTTTGGCTGTTCTGGGCATACGTCATACATGTGCAATACATACAAGAATATTTTGACCAAGTTTGATGAAATTTGGAGCTGTGCTAAAGTGTGCGCACTCACTACGAAGCATCCATCTTCGGAAAACTATTCAGCGTTCAAAGAAAACTTTTTTTAAAATCGAAAGCATTAGAGGAAATTATTTTTAACGATTTGATAGAGCGAAATGTCTAGTTTTAGAATATTTATATTTCTCGCAATAATGTGTTTTAGTGTCGACAGGAAAATGCTTGTTTCTTATTAGATTCATTTTTCAGCTTAATTTTCTCTAGTTAATTACGAGAGCATAAAAAAGTTTATGCGGTTAGGTAGCCCATATCTCAGAATATGTTAGGGGGTCGTCAAACCTTGAAAAAGGGCGCTTTTAAAATTCCACCTAATGTCCACCTGGTTGTCCACTATGACCGCGGCAATAGGGAGGGTGTAGAGGAGTGCACACCGCCTCTGCTTTTTGGATTTCTTACTATTTTCTTCTAACAATCTTTCTCCTAATAGCTTTCTGGGGACTCCAAACGCATTTTAAGCATAAGAAAAAAGTCGCATTAGTTCGAAAATTCAATCTAAATATAAACTTCGGAGATATTCGGAGAAAAAACTATAAGCCATAGCCGTTACAGAAAGTTATGATTTCATAAATAAACGTATAACATTGGTTTTCGTATCAAATAAATATAGTCACACTCATTAATTAATTTTTTTAAATTTTTTTCCGAGCTCAAAACTCCCATTTATATAAATAACATAGAATTTTATTAATAAAAATGACATCTACTGATATTAAATGTAATACATCTGATGATACTAAACAAGACATTTCAAGCTTTATACAGGACGTTATTATATCTCTTGCTTTTTGTCATGAAATTTGTTAAGCTCTTGCATCGTCACCACCATTTATATAGACATTATCAGTAATCAATTCTGGATCGTTTTTGATAAATATAAAAACCGGTTAAAACAGTTAGAAATAGACAATAATTATTTACGATAATTAGAAGATAAATGTAATGACCTTGAGCAATATAGTAAGTGACTGATATATCAGAGGCTATTAATAACTATAGTACTAAAATTATTATTGAAACAGCTAACGAGCGAAACTTTTCATGTGTCCATCTCCAGTTTTAATGATCTATATGTCGATTGATAAAGGATAGTGAGCTGGTGAAAGTTCTGAAACGATTTGGGCTCTTGTTGCTTCTTTCAAAAGTGATGGAATTTTTTGACTTTTTTTGTAGGTAATCACGCGAGAGCTAAAAATTTTACAACACTCGTAAGTAAAGTAAGCTTTTAGATAAGAGCTCAAACTATTTCGGTGACGCTTCTATTGCGTCTTTTGTTGAAAATCTTTTTTTTATGCTTTATTTCTAATTTGAAAAAAAAAGTGAATTCAAGCTGATCATTCATTATCGGATTTCTAGACACCTCGTTGAAAACCGGAGTTGCAGAACATGAATATTATATTTCGATTATTCAGCGTGTACATCAGTCAAAATCATCTCAGTTCTGAAAGTTTCAGCAGTTTTATATAGAATTGACGATTTTATAACTCTTTCGTCGTGAGCGTATCCAAGAGCAAAATGCTTAGAAAACTGAAAGATTTCATACCTCCGGAACGGAACCAATTGAAAAGCTGAAATTGTTCTATAGATATGACAACATACTAATATATATTTATTTAGCGAAACGTGACATTAACATTTTTGTTCTCTCCTTCTTCATTAAATTTTCCATAGAAACGTTTGTTCAAACTGAACATGCCTTTCTCACTTCACAATTATTTTATCTATGACGCAAACAAAACGTACCTTTTATCTGTGTCGGAAATTCTGGAGAAAAAGAAGAATGACGTCACTTATATGTTTTAATGTATCCACCAAATAATCGACTATGGACTTGGTGTGAAAAAAGCGGAAACAAGGGAGCTTTTTCTCTCTGAGACGTGTAATTTTCTTCCTTATTTGACATAATTAAATATTTGTGATTTAGTGATTAGTATTTGTTCAGTATTTAACACTGTTCCAAATGACTCTTTTTTACAAAAATTTATCTTCTCCGTGAGGTTCGTTCTTTCACATTTAAAAATAAAAACTTAATTGTGTAAAAATTGAATTCAAGAAATGATTTTTGAAAACATTTTTCCTAAAATCTTCGCTGAACAGTTATCTACGACAACAGTTTGTTGAAGCTGTTATCCTCAAAACTGTAACCTAGAACTACTTTTCTATCGTTGCTTAATAGTAGAAAAGTATCATGGAAACCACACTTTCGATATAGACAAAATGTTTTGAACACATTGTGGAGAAAGCTCATCATTCAACATCTAAATTGTTAGTTTCATCAATTTGAAATATTTATTTTAGCTTTTTCGTCTAATATTATAAAGAGAGAAAATATTTCCATTAGAAATCTGTTTAGCTTTTGCTCCTTCTTTCCATAGACGGCATAAATAATCAACGCTCATCATCGTTTTGTTGTGACAATATTGTCTGTAATTCTGATGCGTGTTTTTGCAGTAATTGTTGTGTCATTATTTGTAATTGTTCAGCAATTATTGTCTCTGCATGAGCGAGCTTTTGACCAAAATCTGTTGAATAAAATTCTGTATAGTGCTGAATGTCTCGTGAGTTAAAATGATCCATATACATTTTAGCTAAATCCATTTTAATATGATTAAATGAAAAATATTTTTGGATAAATTCTTTTATTTTATTTTCCATATCACTCGTTATAAGTGGTGATTGTGATAAAGGAAGTTCCATAGCCGTATTAAATATTTTTTCTATACCCATTTTATCAAATAATTCCAGTGTTTCTAATAATGTTTTTGAATATTCATCATCATTAGTCGCTATTGGTATGCAATAAGTAAGACCAATTATGCAACCAATAATCAATAATAAACATCAAGGTGTGATGGTGCAAATTTTGGATGTTGTAGATGTTATGGTGGTGAACGGCAATTTAGACTTTTTAGACTTTTAGACTTTCTTCTAGAAAACTAACCGGACTAGCCGTAGGGGGCGGGGGCTGTGAGAATATAGATCCTCTAGTGGCTAACTCTAATCGTAGTAGTGAAGCTATAGTGAGAATCAACTCTCACTCCGATATCTTTATTTGAAGCAAATGAACAGCTATATATAGTACAAAGTTAAACAAGAGTTG